ATGGAATGCCAAGGTTTCACCAAGGACATGTCTGAGGAGAGCTGCAGGTGGGCAGGAATGGAAACCCTGAGGGGCACAGGTTGAAAAAACAGAAAAAAATAAAATCAGCAAAAAAAATGACAAAAACTCGTGTTACCCTCAATTTCAGTTCCAAAGGGCTTGGGCATCCCAGATTTCCCAGTGAATGATTGGGAGTGAAGGTGCAGGGATATTCCCAAAGAACATATCTGAAGGAAATATCATTTCAATTGCTTTCTTGTTCTCCAGTGGCATCCCAGAGTCATTTTTTTCCTGCAGTGCTGTAATTAAAGTCACAATTTATCAGTGGCAATCATCAGAGCACATCCCTGTGCCAGGGAGCCCATCCCTGTGCCAGGCACTCYGTGTTTGCTCCACGTTGTGGCTCCGTTGTGCTCCAATCTGGGTTTAGTCCCTGCAGTCACCAAAMGCCTTCATGTCCCCCCTGTCCTGCCCTGCTTGGGGCAGGAACCTTTCCTGGGCTGGAGCTTTTCCTGGGGCTGTCAGCACCGACCCATCTCCTGGAGGAATTTTGCCCCCATGTACTCATCCCTTGGGATTTGAGCCTTGCCCTGAGCTGACCCCATTTCCCGGTGGGCAGAACTCCAGTTCCTGCCCGGGCCATCCCATTTGAGGAAGAGGAGCCCATTCCCAGAATCCCAGGACAGCCTTAGGCCCTTCCTCACCTTTCACCAAGCCTGGCTTTAAAATCTGACATCACAGCTGCTCCTCCCTGCAGGGAAATCCAATTCCTGCATCTTCTCCCAGCCCTGGGTGCCAGGGACAGCTCTGGGAAGGGGAAGGCACTGAGTGGTCAAGGCAGGTCCTTGATTTGGGAATGTGGCTGTTGGCATGGAAAAATCTCAGCTTTGGACATTCCAGACCAGTGGAAACCAGTCACCACAGGCTCTAAATCCCAATCCCTCCAGAATCCCCTCATCCTGCTCCTGCTGGGTGGGCTGGGAATCATTTACTGGAAAAAAAACGCAGTTCTTAGTGCTTGGAGAAGAGCTGGAGGTGTATCCAGGCAGTGTCTGGGCTGTATCCTGGCTGTACCCATCTTCCCAGTGTCGTGTCACTGCTGSACTGGCTCTGAACTGGTTTTAACTGGGGCTCGCTGGGCTTGGTGGTACTTGCAGAGAATTCCCCTTCTTGTCACGGGCTGCC